TGGCCTCAGTGATGACTTGGTTTGCCCATGAGCTGGTGGCACACACGTTCTGCTCTGTTGTGCTCTTAGGAGAGACAAGGAATTTCTCTTCCACTGGGAAAGGTATAACCTGCCCCCTGTGTTCACACCTTCCTGGGCATGGAATTGTCCTGATGTTGTCACTCTTCCCCCTAGGGATTTGAAGCGAGATGTATCCAAGAAGCTGGAGAAACTGGAGAAGAGAACACAGAGAGCCATCGCTGAGCTGATCAGTGAGTTACAGTGGGATTGGTCACAAGTGGTTCCAGAGGGATTACCTGATCCTTCCTGGGAGCTTGGTGGGAGGGGATCATGGAGTTTGACCCCTTCTGAAAAGGATCTGTGAAGCTCTTGGTCCCAAGGGGCTTCCTGAAGGCTCCAGGGGCATTTGACTTATGCCTAGGGAAGGATTTGTGGGCACAGAGGCAGCAGGTCAGGCCTTGCACCATGTCACTTCCCAGTACAACCAGTTTATCCCTGATCCATGTCTGTTTCTCCCTGCAGGAGAGAGGTTGAAAGGGCAGGAGGAGGAGTTGGCAGCTGCTGTGGGATCAGCAAAGCAGGAGGGAAGTGACTCTGACTGAGGAGATCCATCGGCAGCTTTGGACATGGACTCTATGGATCGACCTCTGGCCCAACACCCAGCCCATTACCCTCAGACAGAGATGGCTGGGACCTGCTGCACACCAACCCTGTGCCAGATGTCCCCAAATCCTACTGTGCTTGGACGAGGGGGGCAGATCCAAGGAGTCCAGCTGATTGTTGAGGAACACTTCATGAATTGCATTTTTGGGGCCATGGGGGCTGGTGGGAGCAGGACAGACATCCGTGTTAGCTTGAACTTAGGACTTGGAGCAAGGAAAAGTGGGCAAAACTCTGGGCTGGTGCCACATAGGTCAATTCAGACTCTCCTCTTGCTGGGAAGGGAAGAAGATGCCCATGGAGCCAACAGCAGCCTTTGGAGTGACAGGACCATTCTCAGGGGATTGGTACTCCTGTTCCTGCACAGCCACACCTTTTCTGGGTGTCACTGTCCTGTGGGGACCACAAGGTCTTACTCTGGATGTGAATATTTGGGAACATCCATGGTCAGACCCAGAATCTCTGTGGGAAATGGTTGTGTGGCTCAAGACCTTTTGGCTGCTCTGCATCTAGCTGAGTTTATCATGGGATTTGTTCTGTTTCTCAAAATTCCCAACCCTCCAGGCTGGGCAGTGTGTCCTCCTCCTTCTCTTACTCCTTCTCCTCCTCCTCTGTGTGTTTTGTAATCAACAAAGTTTGTTGTTAATGAATCTTTTCATAATAAAACCATCCTATGTTGGAAGAAGTTGTCAATTCCAGAGGAAGCATCTCACTTCATCCCTCTCATGTCCACAGGGACCTCAGGCCCTGTCTGCTTTGCTTTTCCAGGACAGAGAGCAGTGGGATTCAGTTCCTGGAAGTCAGAGGTGGCCAGGCTGTGGCTACAGCAGATCAAGCGCTACTTCTGGGATGGATCTGTGGCATGGATGGAGTGATCCTGGTTCTGTGAGATCCAGGTTACCTGTGCTGCTGGAAGAGCTGAGCAGGTGGGATGCTGCCAAGCTTCCCCTGCATTTTCCCTGGAAACCTTTGTTCTTGGAGGTCTTGCAGGATGGTGCTTTGGCAAAGCCTCAATCCTCTGATTCCAAAGTGGTTTTATCCTGAGGTGGAATATCAGGTGCTGACAGCAGGATCTCCACAAGATTCCACCCGTGATAAAAATAGCTGTTCTTGTTAATTCCCACATCCTGCTGCTTTTAAAGGGGAAGAGCTGCTGCTGGTTGGGGGGTGGGAAGAGGTTCCTCATGTGGCCTGGCTGAGCCTTGCTGGCCATCTTAGATTGTCACCATGTAGAACAAGCTCTGTGCTTGTGCCTCTGTTGCTTCCCACTGCTCCATGAGGACATCTGAGGGGCTTTCCACCTGCAAGAGCCCCAATCCTGCCTGCCGGTGATGGACTGGGAGTCAAGAGCAGGTGGAACACCCTCTGGTTCCTCCAGTCTCCATACACAAATGGCTGTGTGCAGCCTCCATCCTCAGCTGCTTCCCTTCTCCCTTAACTCACCTCTTCCAGGTGTTTGCAGCCATACCTGCTCCATCCTCACCCCTTGCAGAGGCCATTTCCAGGTCTGTAGGGACAACAAGGGGACAGGGAATGAGGGGAGACCTGTACCCACATGGGCCATGCTCAGTGTTGGTGTGGATTCCCTCTGGCCTCACCAGTGGGAGAGCACCTGGAGTGAAACCCAAACCGTCTCCCTGCATGTCATTTCTGGGCTATTTCTGTTGGTTTTCCCTATTTTTCGCTGCCTGGGAGGCTTTCAAGTTCTCCTCAGCCTTGTCCTGGGGTCAGATATTTCTGGGAAAGAAACCAACATGTGTCACCAGTGGGGAGGTGTCACTCAGGGCCCTGTGGCTTCCCTGTCCCTGGAAGTGTCCCAGGATAGGTTGGGAAGGGCTTAGAGCAACCTGGGCTAGTGGAAGGTGTCCCTGCCCACGGCAGGAGTGGAATGAGATGATCCTTAAGTTCTCTTCCAACCCATTCCATGATTCCATGAACACATCTCCAAAACGCCCTGTAGATGTCAGCAGATCTCCGTGCACAGAACTGTGCCATGTCCAGCTGTTCCCACAGCTGTTCCAACACCTGGACTCCACAGAAAGCCAAGCTTTGCATCCCAAGCAGCTGCTTCAGCTGGGATGCTCCGGCTAGCATCTTCCATCCCTCCATCCGTCCCTCTGTGTGGTGTCCCAAGGCACCTTCCCTCCCTGCCTGCACCCAGATCTTTGCAGCCTCTGCTTTGCAACAGTTTTGCCTCTTTAAAGGGAATAAATTCCGTTTAAACTGCTTCTGGCTGCAGGCTCAGCTTTTCCCAGAGCAGTCCTGAACTCCATTGAGGATAAGAAAGATCCAACTCTTCCCCAGCCCCTGCAGAGCTCTTCCTCCATGGACTGACCTGTTTGGAGCTCATTTGCAGCATTTTCTCCCTCCGTAAAAAAATTCCAACTCTTAAATCCTGCTGTTCTCATGCAAGGAAAAGTTATCCAAAGGACTGTTGTCACTCTTTCGGCTCCCCATGGAAATGCCATTTGGGAAGGAAAAAAAGCAAAACCTTTAGGACAACCCCATTGAAACCTTGTGACTTTTCCATTTTTCATGTTTTCCACTTTTATTCCAGCTGAAATTAAGCCACTATTAGCCCCAGACTCCTGGGATGGAGACTCGAATGGGAAGGGGGAGAGGTCCATTCCCAGCCGGATGATGGGATCCCATAGCTGGAAGAAACCTGTCCTGAGACTTCTTTGCTTTGCTGAGGAGATTCTTCTCTCTCTAACACATATTTTTCCATAATCCTTAAAAGTACCATTTCCAAGCCCCACTTTGGTCCTGTGGGGATCATCTGTCTCCAAATCCAAGTGTGATTGTCCCTTTCCCCATGGACAGTGGTCCCATCCCCTGGAGCAGAGCCATTCCTGCAAAACATGAGGGACTGAGAGCCCATTGTGAGTCCTGATGTGGGACTGGGATCCTGGAATGGAACAGGGATCCTGGCATGGGATAGAGATCTCAGCGTGGAACTGGTGTCTCACCATGGGGCAGGGATCCTGGCATGGGACTATGGTCCTGGCATGGGATAGAGATCTCAGCATGGAACTGAGGTCCTGGCATGGGACTGGGATCCTGGCGTGGGACTGGGGCCCCAGTATGGGACAGGGATCCTGAAGTGGGACTGGGATTTCAGTGTGGTACAGGGATCCTGGCATGGGACTGTGATCCTGGCATGGAACTGGAATGCCAGCACAGGACAAGGACCCCTGTGTGGGACAGTGATTTCAGCATGGGACAGGGATCCTCACAGAGGTCCTGGCATGGGAATGGGGTCTCTGTGTGGGACTGGGATCTTGGCATGGAACAAGGATATGTACATGGGACTGTGGTCCTGGCATAGGACAGGAATCCCAGCATGGGACTGTGATCCCTGTGTGGGACAGGGTCCTGGCACAGAGATCCCAGCACAAGACACATTATGCATTAGATTAAAAAATGACATAGAGCCCAACCAGCTCTTGCCTCATCCTATTCCTGAAAAACGTTCTCCGTCTGTGTGCTGGGCAAGTCTGGCTCCTTCTTTGCAAGAACCATCTGCTGTTGCTGCTGCTCTTCCAACCTTTCCTATGATTATCTTCCATCTGCAGGACAATCTGTTCTCCTTGGGATGATTTGGTGCTTGATGTCTTTGTTGCCTTTTATCCTCCCGAGCAAAAGCACCACCAAACTGTCAAGGATGTCAAATCCATCCCCTGAGACCTCTCCTGGCCACTCCCTCTTTTTTCTCCTCAGCCAAGATTTTGCCCTTTTAAAAAGATTATGTTTCTTTCTCCCCTGATTAGAAATGTCACCTCCTGCATCTTTAACTTGATTCCCTTCTGTGCTCTCCACGCTGTGCTGTTGGAATATGCCTCAGCAGATGGTTCTCCTGACTCTTTTCTGTTGTCTTGGGAGAAACTGAGCATGAGATGCTCTCAGTTGGGATAAAAGGCATCAGGGTGGGTCACATTTTGAAGGAGGCTTTGAGGGCTGCGTGACTCGAAGCAGGAGTGACCCTGGTGTGCCACAGCAACTCTGCTGCCATTGGATTCTCCAGCCAGCACATGCCATGGGTCTACCTGCTGGGATGATGGAGAGAAGGCCTCATCCGAAGCCCGAAGCCCTTCAGGCCATGTTTCTGCAGTGGTCCTCAGTCCTTCAGGCCATGTTTCTGCAGTGGTCCACACCCAGGGACAAGGTCAGGCTTTCAAGTGTGCAGCTGCTGCTGCAGAGGCATCAAAGGCAATGCCCAGTTCTTGACAGCTGCTGAAAAATCCTTTTGTAATGTCTCTGACCAGACTCTGCCCAAGTTGGGAGTTTCTGCTGCCTGTTCTAGCTCACTGGGGACTCAGGGTCATTGTTGCTTTTGAAAAAGAAAAGAAACAAAACCCTCTTCTAGGCTGCTCTTACGACTCAACAGGTCCCCAAGCCTCCAAAGCAGGTTTCTGCAAAGGTTTCTGCTCTTGTATCATCTGATCAGAGACTGTAGGATAAGATTTTGTTTCTTAAATGTCCAAGATACTTGAGAAATGCTTGCTGGGTTTTTTTTTCTAGGGCTGTCTGAGATGGTCTGAGATAGCTTATGGATGGGTCTTGGGACCTCTGGGAGACCTGTGGTAATTCCAGCTGGAGGTGTGGAGGGATCCCACAACATGTTTCATATCACAGGAGATACTAGAGTGTGGGTAACTGTCCACATATGTCACCTACACCTGAGATAGCCTATCAGTGGGGTGGAGATGGACATGTCTTGACTCTTTGGTACCTTCAAAAGGGATGAGACCTCACCTGCAGTGCTGCTTCCAGCTCTGGGGCACCGACAGCAGAAGGATGTGGAGCTGCTGGAGCAATTTCAGGGGAGGCCATGGAGATCCTTTGAGGGCTGAAGCTCCTCTGCCATGGAGCCAGGCTGGGAGAGATGGAAGTGTCCAGCCTGGACAGGAGATGGCTCCAGGGAGACCTCAGAGCCCCTTCC